GCCGATTCTATCATGTCAAGTTATATATTTAGTCGGTGCTGACATTTTGCAGCCGGATACAAGATGGTCAATTGTTTCTGGATAGTTATCATCTGAATATTATTATTATTATTATTATTATTATCATCATCATTATTATTATTATCATCATCATCATCATCATCATTATTATTATTATTATTATTTGAATATTATTATTTTATTATTATTATTATTTTATTATCATCATCATCATTATTATTATTATCATCATTATTATCATCATCATCATCATTATTATTATTATTTGAATATTATTTGAATATTATTCATCATCATCATCATCATTATTATTATTATTATTATTATTTGGGTATTATTATTATATTAGATCCTTGTATTTTGATAGTATTTTGAAAAACTTCAAAGGTGCATTACAATTTGCAGGGACGTCCATTCCAATAAAAACAGCACATTCTGTTTTTGTGCTCTTTCATCCCGATGTCTGGGCGATTAACTTTCATTGTTCTTCTTATTCCTATGATCTACTATCGTAATCTACCAATCAGTGTCGGTTCATAACAAGTGAACACATGTCCTGTTATTTCTTCATCTGTCTTCTCCAATAAGGCCTTTTCTCAGAATTCTGGCTTTTCCAAGACATGTTTGCATCTGAATCATTACTGTTCGAATCACGATCCTAATTTTACCCGCAAATTTTAGATTATTTTTATTAATAGTAGTAGTAGTAGTAGTAGTAGTAGTAGTAGTGTTGGTAACATTAGCCTAATTGGTATTTTACTTAGGCAATACCATTGCTGAAAAATATACTTAATACTATTTGTTACTGCATTCGGTACAGTGGCTAACGATTTTGATTTGATTTGTTTATTTAACGGCACGTCAACTCCTTTATGGGTAACTTAATGCGGAAATTTAATTTTCCTTAATAAAAATATGACATATGTTATTCTGCTTTCGCAATCGAATACATGGTAGATGATACTCAGCTTTTGTGCATATACATATTTGTGTGGACATAATTATTAGAGGCAGTGATATGTGTTTTTATGTGGTAGTTTTGTTGAAGTTATATTTTAGAATGCAGTTTGATATCTTTAAGAAACTGTAGGATATTATATTCTGAAAGAGTACTTTCATGTTGGTTGGTTGACTTTCTTTGGTGGCATATCAACATCTCTATGGGTTATTTAACGCTGAAATGTAAATATTTTGTACATAATTTTATGCTTTCGTTGTTTTGTTTTTTTTATAGATATTTTATAAATCATAAAATGTATTGTTGGTAATTTTACTATAAAAATGTACTGTTGATTTTTCTTTAGGGTTTCAGTATTTACCCATGGCTGGGACCCTAACAGGTGCTACCACCTCGAGTCGGAGTGGACCTTGGAACAACAACAATTAAGAGGTGGTTCCTCGCTCCTTAAAATCACCAATCTGCCGATTAGAGTCCTTGCTGCCGGATGTAGTTTATCGTCATACCAAGGACGACAGTTAACTAGAAGAATTTAAAATGGCTGCATTCCGGAAATCATCCAAATGGAAGTCTGTTTCATAAAGTTTTGGATAAATTATATTTTCAGAGTAGAGTACGCTCTTTATAACTATAATATAGAGGGAATAAGAGTGATTTAACTCTATGGATATAGAATAGCTCGTCTTAGTTGTGAAGGTCTGAACTTTTCCCATTTAAAATGAGGAAATTCATAGCCCCACTTACAGCATATTTAATGCCGAAATTTGATTTTCTTGGGAGCTTTGAAGTAATAAAAATATGATATATGTTATTCTGCTTTCACAATTGAATACATGGTAGATAATACTCCGCTTTTCTGCATATACATGTTTGTGTGGACATAATAATTAGTAGCGGTGATATGTGTGTTTTATGTTGTAATTTTGTTGAAATTATATTTTGGATTAAAGTTTGATTTCTTTAAGAAATTGTCGGATATTTCATGGATTAATGTCATGAAAGAGTGTTTTTCATGTTGGTTGTTTGTTTGATTTTGTTTGGTGGCATATCAACATCTCTATGGGTTATTTAATGCTGAAATCTAAATATTTTGTACGTAATTTTATGCTTTCAACTACAGATATTTTATTATAATTATATATTCAGATGAAAGTTATATTTTTTAAATAACATTTTGTAGATCATAAAATGTATTGTTCGTGATTTTACTATAAAAATTTGTCATTTTTACATAAAAATGTATGGTTTATTTTCTTTAGGGTTCATTATTTACCCATAGCCGGGACCCTAACAAGTGTTACCACCCCAGGTCAGGGTGGACCTGGGAACAACAGATATCAATAGAGTTTGATTTCTTGTCGGATATTATATGGATTAATTTCATGAAAGAGTTTTTTTTCATGTTGGTTGTTGGGTAGTATTTTTAAACGGATTTGGCTGAAGTCGCTACAATTTGTTAGTATGTGCTAATAAAAGGTAAATAAAACAAGTTTACATCTACTCAATATATTGTAGATTATTTTTTTTCTAGGCGTTGTTCGTTTCATGAAAATTTCGTTACAACATCGGCAACAGATACTTCTTAAAATTAAAATTTGTATTTAGGAAGATTCTTGCTTGGATTGACTTTGATCCTTACTAGGTGCAAAATTAGTCCGGCCGTGTGTCAGGTATATTTACCTGGCCCCTCCCCACCAAGGCTGGGTATGACACAAGGTCGATTTAACGTGTGGAGCACCTTACGCCAATGGGCCAAGGACAAAATTTGATTTTTGCCCAGACCCCGCGACCTCAGACCGATATTACACCGAAATTTAATTTTCTTGGGAGCTTTGAAGTAATAAAATATGATATATGTTATTCTGCTGTCACATTTGAATACATGGTAGATGATGCTCATCTTTTGTGCATATACGCGTTTGTGTGGACATAATTACTAGAGGCAGTGGTATGTATTTTATGTTGTAGTTTTGTTGAAGATATATTTTGGATTAAAGTTTGATTTCTTTAAGAACTTGTAGGGTATTAATGGATTAAAAGAATTCTTTCATGTTGATTGGTGTATTTTCTTTTGGTGGCATAACAACATCTACGGGTTATTTCATTTTATCAGATGCCTACGTGTACCACAAAACTAACTGTTGACTGACATAAAATTGATTATCAATAGCCCTCATTTATTTTTCATGGCTCTCGTCAATATGCCTGACAATGCCTTACCGTTTAGAAAGTTATTTTTTGGCAACTGAAGACACGATATTATCAGAGGCCTAAAACTTATTATAAACACCAAGACCTGTCGTGTTTGTTTTGTTTGTTTAACGGCATATCAACTCCTTATGGGTCATTTCAGGACGAAACTTAATTTTATTGGGAGATTTAAAATAATAAAAACATGTGTTGTTCTGCTTTCACAATTGAATACATGGTAAATGATACTCAGCTTTTGTTCATATACGTGTTTGTGTGGACATAATTACTAGAGGCAGTGATATATGTGTTTTATGTTGTAGTTTTGTTAAAGTTATATTTTGGAATACAGTTTGATTTCTTTAAAAAAATTGGAGGATATTATGTGGGGTAACATCATAAAAGTGTTCTTTCATGTTGGTTGAATGGTTGATTTTTAGCGGCATATCAACATCTTTATGGGTTACGTAAAAGTGAAATCAAAATATTTTTAACACATATTTATCGCTTCAATTACAGATAAAATGTTCTTGGTCATTTTATTATAAATAAGTATTGCTGGTAATTTGGTATAAAAATGTATTGCTGGTATTTTTACTATACAAATGTATTTTAGCCATTCATGATGTTTTGTTTCGGGGTTCACTATTTGCCCATAGCTGGGACCCTAACAGGAGGTAGCCCTGGAAACAGCGGTAATTAAGATGTGGCTCCAGTGTTTCACAAATCCTCCAATCTCCCAATCAGCAGCATTGCTACCAGATGTTGTTTATCGTCATACCCAGGACTGTTATGATTGTGATGGGCAATAAGTTAAAACTGACCTAATTGAAACGGTGTCGACTTTCATCTGGACAATAGTAGACTTTACATTTATTTGCAAACTTGGCAGAAATTGGATCAGGGTGTTCCGGATGTTCTAATACATCCGTCGTCGTATTCACATGACCATGAACTTTGGGATTACCCTTTACTTTCCGCGCTACAAAATTATATTAGTGTGAAAAAAAATTCGATTCTCTCGTAATATTTAAGAGCGGTTTAAACTAATTCCTCACCCAGAAAGATGCCAAGTTCTGGGAAAATGGAATAAGATGAAGAACGTGTCTTAAAGATGGCGACAAATAGTAGAAAAATGGCATAAAAGGGTTGGATAATCTTATAATTCTTCTTCTTTCTCTCTTAGTTCATTAGTTAACGCGTACATTACGTTTAGCCTTGCTAATAGCTCAAAACTAATGGACTGTTTCGTTTTGATCGGCTGGAAAGAAGGAAAAGATATATCAGAGACGCTACTTGGTTTCAGTGAGAAAATGAAAGAAAGAAAGGAAGAAAGAAAGAAAGAATCAATGAAAATTAGTTGATTTAAAATTTTTCCAGCTAAAAACTCATAACTAATGAACTGTTACTTTTTGATTGCCTGGAAAAACGGAAAAGACATATCAGAGACACTAATTGTTTTTAAATTTTTCAGCCAAGTGAGAAAATGAACGAGCGAAATAAATAAATAAATAAATGAAGAAAGAAACAAACAAACAAACAAGGAAAAAAGAATGGAAATTAGTTGTTTTTAAATTTTTCCAGCCAACTCATAACTAATGAACTGTTTTTTTTTTTGTTTTTTGTTTTTTGATCGCCTGGAAAGATTGAAAAGACATATCAGCGACACTACTTGGTTTCAGTGAGAAAATGAACGCACGAACGAACGAAAGAAAGAAAGAAAGAAAGAAAGAAAGAAAGTAAGAAAGGAAATTAATAGTTTTTAAATTTCTCCCGCCAACAGCTCAACTTATTTGATCGCCTGGAAAGTCGGAAAAGACGCTACGTGATTTCAGTGAGAAAAAGAAAGAAAGAAAGAAAGAAGGAAAGAAAGAAGGAAAAAAGAATGAAAGTTAGTAGTTTTACATTTATTCAGCCATCCACTCATAACTAATGGAATGTTTCGTTTTGATCGCCTGGAAAGACTGAAAAGACATATCAGAGACACTACTTGGTTTCAGTGAGAAAATGAACGAACGAAAGAAAGAAAGAAAGAAAGGAAATGAATTATTTTTTAAATTTCTCCAGCGAACAACTCATAACTAATGGCTTGTTCCGTTTTGATCGCATGGAATACGGAAAATGCATATACCAGAGAGGCTACGTGGTTTCAGTGAGAAAAAAAAGAAAGAAAGAAAATAAAGAAAGAAGGAAAAAAAGAATGGTGTTTTGTTGATTTTAAATGAAATTAGAATGAATTAAGAATGAAAGAAGGGGAGACGGGAGAATTTACCGTCTGTTTCAGTGAAATCGAAAAAGTTGTCAATTTCAAATCTTTTCATTTGTACCCCCTTACTTCTTAAAATAACGCCCAGCATTCATATTTATGATTGTTATTGCAATATTTGGTTAAAGTTGTTAAGCTAAATATAGAACGACTCGAGAGGGGAGGTTCTATGGATAATTCACTGTCGTAGAACTCGCCATGAGCTCATTTAAACTTTAATCTAAGAATTAAGCTTCATCATAAAATGAAAATAGAAAAACTGTAAAATTTTCACTGATATTTCTAGTATGGAATAATATTTATATAACTTTTGTGGCGGGAAATTAAATTTTAACTTCATTGTATCTTTTGCTGATTCAACGAGATAGCGAGGTTATTTTAATATTCAACGCACGATTTTAGATTTTAAACAAATGATAAATTTCTGTGGTTTGTATTTGCCAGATGCACAAATGATTGCATATTTGTCTATACAGATACAGACACACACGCAACCATTCATACATATATATATATATATATATATATATATATATATATACATTATTATCATTATTATTATCATTATTATTATTATAATTATTATAAGAGATTATAATAAAAACATGATTAAAATCGCTACACAAAAATTTTCCTGTTTCAATTCTCTGATTGTATTTCTTCAGGCGATGGTAAATCTTACTTACCATCGCCCAAAGAAGTACAATCAACTACGGTCACCAGACGGTTTCTGAATCTCCTGCAACTCTTCTAGACGGTCTCCTTGTTTAAGTTGGTGAATGCTGCCTTAATCCTTGTCTTCAGTATCTTTGGTGTTACAAGGATTCCTCACATTGTGACCACAGCAGTTTCTATCTATTTATATTCCAAAGAATGTAAATAAATAATAATGATCGCGTGGTTATGTGTGACGTCATGAGCTGCAGTGCGATTTTCGCTTCCAGCGTCTCCTATGCACGAATTTGTCGTTGCTTGGAAATCTTCCATGTAAACAGAAACAGACTATCATTATTGTTTTGTCCGTGTTTATATCTTGTAATGTAATTGTCATCTTTGATAACATAAAATAAACAAACTTGTCTATATTATTTAATAAAACATGCATCAGTATATATATATATATATATATATATATATATATATATATGAATAAATATAGTTTTAAGGTATACTATATTTACGGGATAAAGTGCTCAATATCAAAGATTGAGCGTATGTAAATATAAATATAAAAGTGAACATTGAAGTCAACACTCAGAGGCGAAAGGCTGTTCCATGCTAGACGCAATATATATATATATATATATATATATATATATATGTATATTTATAAAATTTGTATGCATATATATATATATATATATATATATATATATATATATATATACATTTTAATCGGGAAAAAATATTTATGAATAAAAATGACAATAGGAAAACTGGTAATTAGACGCGTTTCGTCAATGTGGACTTTATCAAAGCAAAATACGAAAATTCCTCTTTTGCTTTGATAAAGTCCACATTGGACGAAACGCGTCAGCAATTACCAGTTTTCCTATTGTCATTTTTATTCATATATATATATATATATATATATATATATATATATTAATGCATGTTTCAATAATAATATAGACAGCTTTTTGTTTATTTATTTTAATCAAATACCTTTCATATCGTCTGATAAGTTTTTATCATTTAAAGACGAAAGAAAATCAGCATATATTTAATGAAAAAATATTCCTAAATACACATACAATATATATATATATATATATATATATATATATATGTGTGTGTATATATATATATATATATATATATATATATATATATATATATATATATATATATATATATATATATATATTTATTTAGATGTATATGTAATTTAATATGTTATAAAATCACTAAAAAATAGCCATTTTGTTTCAAGACTTCTGGTGTCTTATCAAGATTCAATACCATCATTTCATAAGACAACAGAACTGTTGAAAAATGATGGCTATTTTGTAATTCTTTTATAACATATTTAATTTATAATTTTCGAATAAATAATTATATTTGTTCTAATCTGTATTGAGCACTCTTTTAAGAATAGAATTTTTTTTTTATTGGAATATATTCCGTATACACTAATCCTGTACTTATATATATATATATATATATATATATATATATATATATATATATATATATATATATATATATATATATATATATATATATATATATATATATATATATATATGCAATATATATATTATTTATATATGCGTGGACAGAAAGCGCTCAATATCAGTGATAGAGCTATCATACTTAGTTGGATTGATGTGAGTTTGTCACCCTGGCTTTCACGCTCTCTGTAATGGTCAGAAAGCGTGAAACGCATTATTACAAACTCACATCAATCCAACTATATATATATATATATATATATATATATATATATAGATACATAGATACATAGATAGATAGATAGATAGATATGAACAAACTAGGATATATATACATATATATATATATATATATATATATAGATAGATAGATAGATAGATAGATAGATAGATAGATAGATAGATATGAACAAACTGGGATATATATATAGAGAGAGATAGATAGATAGATAGATAGATAGATAGATAGATAGATAGATAGATATGAACAAACTAGGATATATATATATATATATATTGATAGATAGATAGATAGATAGTCAAATCGCCATAGATAGATAGATAGATATAAAGACAATGAATGGTTGAATTTATCAAGCTGAATGTAAGGAATTTATTTTGCTATAAGTAATTATAAACAAAAGTGAAAATGTATTTAGCTTTCATAATTATTAAATTTAAAAACGCTCTTGAATATACTTTGACCTAACTGAAAATGAAGCCAAATTATGGAGGACGCTAAGGGATATAATTTAATGTCTAATAAATGAAAATGAGTATATGTTGACATTTTTTTAATAAGGTAATTATTATTTTATTTTAGGATTAATTTATGTGTTACATATTTGCCGAATACACAATTGAGAGTATATTTATCTATTTATTCATACACACATAGACACATATGCACACACTCACAAACACATACACACAAATAAGATATATATAGATATATACTTTATTATACAGTGTAGGCGTTATATGTTTTAGTATACCTATGTATTTTAGTATAGTATGCCTTTGTTTTGGGAGATTTTGTTTGGTGGCATATCAACACTTCTATGGGTTATTTAATGCCGAAATCGAAATATTTTAAACGCACTTTTATGGTATCAACTACAGATATTTTGTACATAATTATATTTTCCGAGTTAAGTATCTTTATAAGATATACATTTTGTAAGTCATAAAATGTATTGTTAAATTTATATTTTGGAATACAACTTGATTTAAGAAATTGTAGGATATTATATGGATGTTTAAGAGTTCTTTTATATTGATTGGTTGGTTGGCATATCAACACCTGCATGGGTTATTTAATGCCGAAATCTACATAATTTGAACAAGATATTATGGCTTCAACTAAATATATTTTGAATGCAAATGTATGCCTTCAACTACAGATAAAATTTATTGTTGGTCATTTTGATTTAAATATGTATTATTGGTTGGTTGATTTTGTTTAGCGGCATATCAACATCTCTATGGGTTATTTAATGCCGTAATCTGATTTGTTGATTTTTTTCTTTTTGCAACATATCAACACATATTTGGGATATTTAAAGCCAAAATTTAAATATTTTGAAAAAGAATTTTATATGGATTCAACTCTAGATAATTTGTACATAATTTTATACTTTCAGTGCAAAGATATATATAGATATATACTTTATTATCCAGTGTTATATGTTTAGAATTATAGAGTAAAGCTATATTTTCTAAATATATATTTTGTAGATCATAAAATCTACTGTTGGTGATTTTACTATAAAAATGTATTTTTATATTGTTTTAGTGTTGTATTTATTGTCGTTTTTCTGTAAAAATGTATTGTTGGTTATTTTATTATAAAAAATGTCCCATTAATTTTTGTCTAAGGGTTTTCTATTTGGTCAGAGCTGGGACCCTAACAAGTGCTACCACCCCGGGTCAGGGAGGACCTGGCAGTAACAGCGATAAAGAGGTTGTTCTACGCTCTTCAAATCTTCCCAATCAGATGCCTTGCTTCTGGGTGTAGTTTATTGTGATAATCAGAATTTGATAAATAAGAAATCATTATGTAGATATAAAGTGGGGGATCAGTTCTATATTACAGCCAATATATAAACTGATCCCTCATTTTGTGGCCACAATAGTTTCTGCCATATAGGTAAGTTGTTTTTTTTTTCTTTTTGACATATCAACACCTCTATGAATTATTTAACACCGAAATCTAAATATTTTTGAAAACAATTATATGGATTAAGCTCCAGATATTTTGTACATAATCTTATGCCTTCAGAGGAATATATATATATAATATATATATATATATATATATATATATATATATATATATATATAGATATATATTAATTTCCATAAATGTGCAATCAATTTACAAATTATGAATTTTCATACAAAAACAAATACAAGGTTAATGATTTAATTGGCGAAATCCATCGTCACAAACTATTCAAATAATATACAAAAACCTCCGAACCTGTTATGAATGAAAAGATCCTTGTTTCTATAAATTTCTGTTGCATTAGTTCTTATTTTACTACAAGCTTTTGTCTGTTCCTACAGACATCTTCAGGGAGGTTTTTGTATATTATTTGAATTGTTTGACGATGGATTTTCTCGCCAATTAAAATGATTAAGCTTGTATTTGTTTTTGTATGAATTTGAATATATATATATATATATATATATATATATATATATATATATATATATATATATATATATATGTACTTTGTAGATTATCCAGTGTAGGTGTTATATGTTTTAGTATAAACCTATGTTTTTGGTATGGTTAATTTTATTTTTGCGGCATATCAACACCTCTATGGATTACTTAATGTCGAAATGTAAATATTTTGTACGTAATTTTATGCTTTTAACTGCAGATATTTTGTACATAATTTTAAACTTTCAAGGTAAAGGCATGTTTATATATATATATATATATATATATATATATATATATATATATATATATATATATATATATAGTTTATAGAAAACTGAATGTCCTTTTGCTTTAAAAATGTATTGTTGGTCATTTTTATTATAAATCTGTACTGATGATTTTTTGGTTGGTTCACTATTTGTCCATAGCTGGGACCCTCACAGGTGCTACCACCACGAGCCAGAGTGAGCCTGGAAAGAACAGAAAGGGTGCTTGTAGGACATCATTAATTTCTTGCACGGAAGTATGGAACAGGTTCCAAATGTAAAAGGTGCTTCAACCTGTTACTAATAAAAAGAACGCGTTCAAATATAAAGGTGGACTGTGAGGTCAACACCAACAGTTACAAATAACTGCATTCGGATCCAAAATTATCCAAACTATTCGAGACGTTATTGAGTTTCTAGAATAATTTGAAATTTTATAGTTACCGTCTCAGTTCTGACAATTGCGTTGAGCAGGAAACAGATTGGCGCCTCTGTGTGTCGATCTCAGGGTGCGACACCTTTGGAAAGTTTACTGAAAATCATAGCACGGGTTGACCCAAGCCTTGTGAGTGAAATTAGGGAGACAGAACTCTTGCGGGCCGTCGATGCCACAAGTTATCGCGTCCGAGTGCTAGCCTTGTTTAAATTGTTGATCACGCCAGATAACACGTTCTCTGAAAATGTAACTAAGATCCTGGTCAGCATAGTTGCAGTATAAATCACGGGTGAGACCTGTGGGTGTTGAGGAAACACAAATATGCCTGAGAGAGTGACTGCAATAGGGATTGGCTATCCGCCCAAGTAGACAGGTATCCTCGAATACGAGTGGACAGCTATTACACACACACACAACACACACACATATATATATTGACGCATGTTTTATTAAATAATTGTTATGGGATCTTACCCATAATAATAATAATAAATAATAATAAGTAATGGACTATTCCATACGGTTAATAAATACTTGTAAAACCGGCCCTGAACCCCTCAGTCAAAGTAGTTCAAGTCGAGTCAGTAGTTCAACACCCTCGAGTGACTGAAAGAGTCAAGTTCATTGGCAGTCCGAAACAGAGTCGCGTTCAGACAATTACTACAAGACATTGGAATAGTGATACTGGTCGAGACTACATTGTTTTCTCTACTAAACCTGATTGTTCGTACTAACACTTTCTACTTCTCTATATATATTCCTGTTTGTAATATATCTGTGTTATTCCATATCCGTGTTCGAGTTCTTCTTTATTGGTTCTACCTTGGACTATCACCGTGGTACAAGGAACCGGGCCATAACAATAATATAGACAAGTTTTGTTTATTTATTTTATGTAAATTCTTTTCATATCGTCTGATGAGCTTAATAACATTATCATTGAAAGACGAAAGAAAATCACCATATTATATATTTTTAATCCTATCTAAGTTTTCAGCTTACATAAAGAATTATCAAAGTTGACAATTACATTACAATATATTAACCAATACACGGACAAAACAATAATGATGGCCTGTTTTTGTTTACATGGAAGATTTCCAAGCAACGACTAACTCGTGCATTCGAGACGCTGGAAGCGAAAATCGCACCGCAGCTCATAACGTCACACCTGACCACGCGATCATATTTTATTTATTTACATTCTCTGGAATATAAATACATAGAAACTGTTGTGTCACAATGTGAGGGATCCTTGTAACACCAAAAATAACCTGAAGACAGGGATTAAGGCAGCATTCACCAACTTAAACAAGGAAACCATTCAGAAGAGTTGCAGAAGATTCAGAAGTCGTCTGGAGACCGTAGTTGAAGCTAATGGCGATTTTAATCAATAAATTTTCTCTTTAGTGTGTCAAGATATATTTTTCGTAATTTTGATAAATGTATCTCTTAAAATGACATATGAATGTAATGTTTCTTTTTCTATAATTTAGACGATAAATTATCCATTTTACCTGCTGTATATATATATATATATATATATATATATATATATAGATATGAATAAATTTTTTCAAACATTATGCATTCTCTTCGATCCAATGCATATTACATTATATGGATCTATATCAGTACACATGAAAGTGTAGCATCTAAGTATTGACAAGGATCGACGTTGCTTAACTTCAGTAATCTTACGAGGAGTACTGTTTCAACGTGATGGCCGTAAGCATTGCATAATATAGACATAATCCATATGTATATATACATGCATGCATCGTATAGACACACACAAATATATATATATATATATATATATATATATATATATATATATATATATATATATATATATATATATATATATATATATATATATATATATATATATATTCATTCATATATAACACATTCATCTACATACGGAAGAAGTTATAAATATTTATAACGTACAGGCTCACACACACACACACACACATATATATATATATATATATATATATATATATATATATTTATAAACATTTATAAACTTTTTTAAATATTACGCATTTTTGTCGAATTTATGCAAAATATATTATATGGATCTCTATCATTACGCATGAAAGTGTATGTGAAATCACTTTACCTGTATAATTCCGCGTATCTATAAATATATATATATGCTCTCATATATATATATATATATATATATATATATATATATATATATATATATATATATATATATAATAATGTTCTTGAAAACCCAGTTGATAAAAACATGATTGTGAGCATTATAATTCCATCAATGGGCTTTGATAATCAACCTGAGAAGTTAATGGTCGCTACCGTTGTTCCAAAATGGCGTGGTTGGAAATGCGAACAGAGAAATGTGGTAGATTATTTTATGAAAGCTTTCACGAGATTATCTCTGCATATTTTTGAAAATTCCCAAAAAATGTTCGGTAAAAAGGAATTTTCAAAAAAAAAATCAATAAAAATAAAATAATAATAACAAAATAAAATAAAAAAACCCTTAGAAAGGCGAAAAAACAAAACGCCAAAAAACAAATAAAGCTTTTTTTTCTTCTCTCAGCAATGTTCGATTTTGACACAGGCATGAGGTATTATATACACTATTTACGTTATTCGGACTATTGTCCTCATCTTTGTCGCCATGCCGTATCATTTTAAGCTCCATTCAATCCTGATGCAAAGTATCTGTTTGAGATGAAAAACACAAAACCATCTTTTAAAAAAAAAAAAGAAGACAGAACTGTTACTCAACCGAGAAGTTAATGGTACAAGTGCGAGAAATTATAGCTAACGCTACCGTTGTTCCAAAATGGCGTGGTTGGGGGAAATGCGAACAGAGAAATGTGGTAGATTATTTTGCACTGAATGAAAGCTTTCACGAGATTATCAGCAAGCATATTCAAATTTTTGAAAATTCCCCAAAAATGCATTTACCGGTAAGAAAGGAATTTTCAAAAAAAAAAAAAATCAATAAAAATAAAATAATAATAACAAAATAAAATAATAAAAAAAAACGAAATTGAAAAGGAAAGTTTCCTTAGAAAGGCGACGAAAGCTATTTCAGATGAAAATCTTAAACATCTGTGCCATATTTATCACCCTTCAGAGTTGGGAAAAATAGATAGGCCATATTTATCATATATATATATATATATATATATATATATATATATCGGCCTTTCAGTATCTGTCTATATTTCTGAGATGAGGTATCATGTACACTATTTACATTATTCGGACTATTGTCCTCATCTTTGTTGCCATATTTATCACCCTTTAGTAGCTGTCTATATTTCTGAGATGATGTATTATGTACACTATTTACATTATTCGGACTATTGTCCTCATCTTTGTTGCCATATTTATCACCCTTCAGTATCTGTCTATATTTCTGAGATGAGGTATTATGTACACTATTTACATGATTCGGACTATTGTCCTCATCTTTGTTGCCATATTTATCACAACGTTTTGGCCGTTCTACGCTCCGGCCTTCTTCAGGTGGTTGGAAGGTCGAACTGAACACTTTATTTCGCTTACTGGGGCAGACTGTTCTAGTTCCACGTGCCATGTCTAATGGATATCAGTTACCAGTTATCTCCTGTTAATTCCCCTCCAAGTTCTCCACCGCCCACAGAATTATCATCGGATAAACTTGACAGAAGAATTAAAAATAAAATGAATAAGAGCTGTTAGCGCCATTGAAAAACAAAATGGAAAGAATTATCAAACTTATACTTTGAGAAACCTTTGCAACGAATGCCAAAATTTTCTCCTGCAGTAATCAAGGCTAAAGAAGGATATTTTGATGTGAGCAAAATTTTGTCATAAGATGCATTTTTACTTTTTGTCATAATAACATTTCTAATATAAAAAAATATCATGTGTCATTTTTTTTTTCATCCATGTATAATAAATTTGTCTTTTTGTTTTTTAAAGTACAAAACAACGATTTTATGTGACTGTTTAAAAAAATGCAACGGGTTGCTTCAAG